AACCAACGGCAAAAGGAAGACCTTTCTGTCTCTTGCTCTCACTGTCCACTCTGCCTGTAAAACAAAACAAAACAAAACAAAACAAACAACAAAAAAAAACCTCATAATTTACTTTTGTTATATGATGAAGGTAACTACATTAGGTATAGAGATATTAATGGAAAGGTGATTTGGACCAAAGACCTTAGCTTGAGATCCACAGAATGCTTAGTGTCATGTTCTTTCTCTGATATGAGTAGGTGTGCTTTTAGCTTCAGTTTTGACAACATAATGCTTTAAAGCATTTTTTGAAGATTTACTTGAGAGGTAGAGTTACAGATAGAGGGAGAGAGAGAGAGGTCTTCCATCCTTCACTCCCCAAAATGGCTGCAACAGCTTTAACCAATCTGAAGCCAGGAGCTTCTTCTGGGTCTCCCAAGTGGGTGCAGGGACCCAAGGACTTGGACCATCTTCTGCTTTCCCAGGCCACAGCAGAGAGCAGGATTGGAAGAGCAGCTGGAACACGAACCAACATCCATATGGGATGCTGGCACCACAGGTGGAGGCTTAACTTACTACACCACAGTGCTGGCCCCTTAAGACAAATTTAACAACTTAGCGTGTCATGGTTGTGAACCTATCTTGGCTTCTGAATGGTTTCTTGGTTAATTATGAACAAGACATCCTTTTGAGTTACTTGAAATCTCTTAATTTATTTAATGGTGGACTGTGATCTTTTTCTGCATCAGTAGTTGTCAATCAGCTACGATTTTACCTCCCGGGAATGTTTGATGGTGTGTGGAGATATTCTTGGTTGTCACGGCTCAGCTCTAAGGAGAATGTTATTTCGCATCTAATAGAGTGCTCGTCAGCACCTACAATGGACAGCCTTGTTTGCACCTGAACTATGTGCCCCAAGATGTTATTAGTGCTGCAATTTTTTTAATGCTTATTTATTTTCATCTACTTGAAAGAATGACAGACCAGAGAGAGAGCGAGAGAACGTTTCTGTCCACTGGTTCATTCCTCAATGCCTGCAATAGCTGGGGCTGGGCCGAAGACAGCCCAGAACTCCATCTAGGGCTTCCACATGGCTGACAGGGACCAGAGCACTTGAGCCATCTTCTGCTGACTCAGAATAAATGACCAGGAAGCCAGATCAGAAGCGGAGTAGCCGGGACTCAGATCAGCATGATATGGGATGTGGGCATCTCAGATGGCAGCTTAACACACTGCAACGCAGTGCCTGCTCGAAACTTACTTCTGTGAATTAGCACCTTGGGAAATGCAGCCTGTTTTTAAACTAGTTACAGTCTGGGTGTACAATTTAGAGAGATGTGTGCCTCTAAACAAATGTGTCTCTGAAAATTTTATCTGTGTGGTGCATCCACTAGTCTATTTGTGTGTTTTTGATGGAGTTATAAGCACAAGTTTTATGTATCTGAATGAAAGGTTAATGTGCATGTTGGGATCAGGAAACATCCGAGAGAAGCGGTTCCCATTCCGAGTGTTGTTTTAGTGGCCTCCTAAGTTTTGCAGTGGAGCCTGTTGTACCGCTGGCTGCTTCCTTCTTAGTGTTAGTGTTGGCTCTCAGCTGAAAAGAGTTGTTTAGTATTGTTGACTTTTTTATTGTGTTTGTTATCCAGTGAAGTATATTGCAGTTGCTTTGGAAGTATTTTTTTTCTTAGCCATGCTGCTGTCTCTTCACGGTGTAAAAGGGGCAGTAATTAGGAAAAGAAATCTTGGGTCAAGAAAATATTAACTCAGAACGTTTCTTAGACTGATAGCAATGCATTATTACCTGATGAGCCCAGAAATGTGACATTGCTGCATATGTAATGGTCACTTCTGTACGAGACCCAGCCTTGTAACAGATGAGCCTGGGCACGTATTGTGGTGCATCAGATTAAGCTGCTGCTTTGGACTCTTGGATCCCATATCAGAGTGCCAATTTGGATTCCAGCTTCTCTGCTTTGGATCCAGCTCCCTTCCAACGCACCTGGGAGGCAGCAGGTGTTAGCTCAGTAATCAAGTTCATGTCACCCATGTGGAAGACCTGCATGGAATCCCGGCAGCTGGCTTCAGCCTTGCACAGCCCCGACTGCTGCAGCCATTTGGGGAGTAAACACTTTGAAAATCACTTCTGGCTGGCGCTGCGGCTCAATAGGCTAATCCTCTACCTGCGGCGCTGGCACACCGGGTTCTGTCCCGGTTGCCCCTCTTCCAGTCCAGTTTTCTGCTGTGGCCCGGGAGTGCAGTGGAGGATGGCCCAAGTGCTTGGGCCCTGCACCCCATGGGAGACCAGGAGAAGCACCTGGCTCCTGGCTTCGGATCAGCGCAGTGCGCCGGGCGGAGCGTGCCAGCCGCGGTGGCCATTGGAGGGTGAACCAACGGCAAAGGAAGACCTTTCTCTCTGTCTCACTGTCCACTCTGCTGTCACAAAAACAATAGCATACCACATCACTTCTGCTAACGTCTAAAGAGGAATGTAAGAAACTTCACAATATCAGAACATATTTTGATAAATTATTTGTGAGGCAAAGAGAGAGACAGACACAGAGCTCCCATCTACTGGCTTACTCCCCAAATGCCCACAAAGGCCAGGACTGGCCAGGAAACTGAGAACCTGGAACTCATTCCAGCTGTGTGTAATTAGCAGGCAGCTAACCATTTGAGCACTCACTCACTGCCTCCTAGAGTCTGCCCTTAGGGAAGTGGTGTCAGGAGCCAGAGCCAGGATCAAACCCCAGGCACTCCAGTATGAGATAAGGATGTGTGTTGCCGGCATCTTAACTACCAGACATCTGCCCTGAAACACGTTGTAAAAAAACTCACGTCCTTGCCTGTGGGTTGTTAGTCCCACTTGAAGGTGCCTGTTTGCTTCTGGTTTTAACTTCCTGATGAAAATCAGCAAGAAATGGGTATAGGGCGGTGCAGATGCAACTCTAAATTTCCTTGCAGAAAGAGATACCGATTCTAAAGAGAAGGACTATTTGAGATAGACGCCTTCCTCATCAGCACCAATGGTTTTCATCAGAACTAGACGTGCTGCCGCCGTGGTTTGCCCTGCCCCCTTTAGGTGAGAGGGTCCCTACAGCCGCCAGGAGGCAAGTCTGAGTGAGGAGGTGGAGGGCAGCTTGGACAGGGAACCTGGGGGCAACGCCGTCCAGTGGAAGGAACTCTGCACTATCCAGGATGTGCTCCCTGGCCCGCTACGTGAAGCTGTGGGACCATTCTCTGCAGGGCTCTAAGGTCTTGTTTCTTTGGGCTTTTTTTCAAAACTGTTGTTTTTTTGTTTTTTTGTTTTTTTGTTTTTTTTTTTTCTTAGCAAGTTACAGTTATGCCCTGAAATGTCACAGATGTGTAAGGTCTTTCATCTATTTCTTCATTGGCCTCAGAAAGTGCCGTGTCTGGGTATGGAGGTATAGTGGGTTGTAACTTGGGTGTCAGATTGCTGTAGCTTTACGAATTGTTTTTGAACCAGGCTCATATTGCCTCAACACTTTCAGTTTACCTCTTAGGTAATTGTACCTTTGTAGTATTTTGTTGATCACTTATTTATTGACTTCCTTTCATTGGCCTGCTTATACTTTAACTTAGAAGTTAGTGGTGTACTAGTGGTCCCCTGTCGCTCCCCCTCTTCATGGAGGAACGACACAGGACCCTGCGCTGTTCTTTCGTCTGCTCGGCCCTCCCCGGGTTTGCTGCTGGTTCTTCCCGGGTTGGCTACTATCCCTTCCACCTCCGTGGAAGGGCAGTTCCCCCTGGGCACATTCCCCACTTCCGCAGGGGAGCGGCACACCGCCGGCCGGCTTTCTCGGGGGCTGCACAGGTGTTCCTTCAGCTAGATGTTCCCCTTAGATGTTCCCCCCAATAGATGTTCCCCCGTGCATGCCGTCTCTCTCCTCCTTTATAGTCCTCCTCCGCCAATCCTAACTCGGCTGCCCACACGCCGAGTACGCTGCTCTCCTCCAATCAGTAGCAAGTCCTACAGTTTATTGGTTGAACTGGAGGCAGCTGTGCGGAAGCTGTTTACTTCTCTCCCAGCGCCATATTGTGGGAGAGCAGATGCATAGAATAAGTCTTAATTCCAGTAACTCAGTCTAGTCCGGTTTGCTCCCCACAGTCCCCAAAGCTGTGAACTTGGATGAATTGTCTTGTTTTAGCAGCGGCTGAGGTTTGTGTCTTTGGCAGCTTGCGGTGTCTGTTAGTGATCAGGGTATTGATAGGTGTCTTAGAGCAGTGCTTCTGTATTTTGGAGGGGAGGGGGCATGGACTCATTCAGCATTTTTAATATTACTAGAACAGTGTATTAACTCCCATGACTTGAGTTTTGTATGTGATTTGGAATTCTTGAAGCTCCTGAAGTCCATCTGTAGATTCCTGGGTAAGAATGACTCTTCTGGGGTGGGTGCTGTGGTACAGCCAGTCAAGCTGCCACTTGCTAGGTGTGTATCCCATTTCGGAGTGCCTAGGATCCATTCCTGTCACTGGAGAGGTAGCAGGTAATGACCCAAGTGCTTGGGCCCCTTCCACTCAGGTTGGAGACCAGGATGGAGTTCCTGGCTTCTGGCTTCAGCTTGACCCAGCCCTGGCTGTTGCAGGTACTGTCAGCCAGCACGTGGGAGCTGTGTCTTTCTGCTTCTCAAACTTATTAAAAAAAAAATTGGAGCCCAGCACTGTGGTATGTGGGTAAAGCCACTGCCTGCAATGCCAGCATCCCATTTGGGCACCAGTTCAGAAACCAGCTACTCCACTTCTGATCCAGCTGCAGCCATTGTGGCCATTTGGGGAGTGAGCTAGTGGATGGAAGATCACTCTCTCTGTAACTTTCAAATAAATAAATACAATCTTTCTTTTTAAAAGGTTTTTATCAGTTTTTCGCATGGGATAGTTTTGTATGATTACTTTAAAATGTTCAAGGTATTGAGATGACATTCTAAATTGAGCAAATTATTTTTTGAGACTGTTAAGCCATAATTCATAGTTGTGAGTAAAATTAAAACTTTATTCCATTTTAGCATGCCAATGAAGATGTGGAAAGAATGTTACTAGGAAACAAGTGTGATATGGATGATAAAAGAGTTGTACCTAAAGGGAAAGGAGAACAGGTAAGAATTTCTCAATGAAACTGCTATGCTGCCTTTCTTTGTGAAGGTGGTACTGCTTTTGATGATGTCTGTACTCATGGTATGGAAGTACACCAAGAGCTGGTCTTAAAATCCGCCTTGGAAACCGTAGTTTACCATTCAGTGCATATCCGGCACGTAGGGGAGACCTTTAGGTACGGCTGTAGTATTTTCAACCTTATTTAAGCAACAAAGAAGGAAAAGCACTAGTCAGAACTTTAAAGGAATGTTGGGATTTTAATGTGATTCCAGCGTTCAGAGTCTGGTTAATCTTCCATGTGGGCGAGTCATACTGGATACTTCTATAACGACATTTTGCTTCTTTTTTAGATTGCAAGGGAGCATGGTATTAGGTTCTTTGAGACTAGTGCGAAAGCAAATATAAACATTGAAAAGGCTTTCCTCACATTAGCTGAAGACATCCTTCGAAAGGTAAGTTCCCGGCTTTACCTCCTGCTGAGAGTCTCAGGAAATAGCCACTGTTCTCACCCACCTGCAGTCACTTCTCAGGCTAATACAAAGCGTGTATTTATTGTGTACTGAATAAATTAAAAACTTCCCCAGATTTCAAACACTAAACATACGCGGTAATAAATGGGGTTGCAAAATATAAATCTGGAGAAATTTCTGAGCACTTCTAAGAAATTGAATTCAGATAGTTCCATTAAGTAAATTTTCGGTATCAAATCATTAAAGCCAAGCAACTTCATTTCTGAGTAAAGTGTAGGTGAGGGGTGCAGGAGGGAGTGTCGGGCCAGGCGGGACGGTCTTCAGTCCCATACACAGGTGGTGCTTTCCAAGGTGCCGGCGTCTTACAGGCCATGGTTTGGGAGTTGCTGCTTTTGAAGGTGGCTTTCTGTGAGAATCCAGTCAGATAAACTGATTTCAGAGGATTGAGGGAGGCTTAGAACAATTGCATGTAAAGGATATGTATAGAACATTGATAAAAAGTAAATTAGGCATGTGTAGTGATCTCGGTTTTTAAAATGATAAACCAAAAACGTGTGGGCTGCTTTCAGCAAATAAAGATCTGGGAAGGAGAGACAGACACCAAGCCCTAGTGGCCCTAGGTGACATTGATTGGAGGGAGGCTGCAGAATCCCTTGCTGTCCTCTAGGGCAGTTTTGTTCTGAAGTTCTAATAGGTTTCTTTTTTAAATTATACAATGGAAATTTTTTAAACTATTCTTTTAGGTAAAGCTCGTTAGAATTTTTTTAAAAAATAAAGTTTTATTACTCCTTTGAGGAATGAAAAATGTATAGAAAAATAGTACTAAATCAGTTAAGGGAAACTATTTCAGAAAAAGTATTTGGTACAGTCTGAGAAAGACCAAGATATGACCAGTGGGAGGCATTCCAGAATTTACTGGAATACCCTTGTTTCCACATTCTTTGTCTTGTTGGCTGTCTGGTCTCCATGCTTTCTGGTTTCTTTCTGTCCATGCTGTGTCTCCTCTTCTTACTGGTCTGGGCTTGGCTTTCTTCTCAATAATGTTACATAGTCTTCATATAATTGTCATTCTGGTGACACAGAACTTCCTTATTATCATATTAAAGGCTGTGTGGATACAGCAATAAGGAAAGAGCTTTTAAAAGAGTTCTCTCCTTGTACCAAGGTCCAACACAGAAGGCAATATTTTCTATACACTTGTTTTGATGTAGTAAAGTTATGAGTTAAAAACATCAAATGTAAACTTCTCATTAGTATTAAGTTTTATTTATTTATTTATTTTTTTAATTTGAAAGGCAGAGTTACAGAGAGGGAGAAGGAGAGGCAGAGATTCTCCATCTGCTGGATTACTCCCCAGGTGGCCACAACAACCAGGGCTGGACCAGGTTAAAGCCAGGAGCTTCTTTTAGGTCTTCCACGTGGGTGCAGGCCTCTGCGGCTTTCCCAAGTGCGTTAGCAGGGAGCTGGATCACAAGTAGAGCAACCAGGACTCATGTCAGCCCAATTGCTGATTATTTGGACAGGTCAGTCATTGCCACATCAGAGCTCCGGTTCAAGTCCTGGCTGCTCTGCTTCCAGTCCAGCTCCCTGCTAATCTGCCTGGGAAAGCACTGGAAGATGGCCTAAGACCTTGGGCCCCTGCCACACACATGGAAGACCCAGATGGAGTTCCAGGTTCTTTGGCTTCATCCTGGTCCAGCCTTGGCTGTTGTGGCCATTTAGGGAATCAACCAGCAGGTGGGAATTCCTTCTCTTCAAGCCTTTCAAATAAAATTAAAAATTTTAAAAATAGGGTTAAGAATCACTTTGCATTTCCTTTTCTGTAAACTTTGTTCATTCTTTTGCCTAGTTCCTGGCCTTTTCTTAGCCAGGAACCAGCTTAAAGTTAAATTTGATGAAGTTAATACTTTGTCTATGAATTGGTTTGCTCTGCATGGGATAATTTCACTTCGACTCTTAAAGTAGACTCTCTCAAAGAGGTGGCTGGGAGTGAGCGAGTTGCTAACTACGTAGTGTGGGCTTCCCCAGCTTTCCACACCCACACCGAGTGTTTCCCATGCAAGTCTGTGAATAATTTTCTTGCTCTGGGTGAGGTCCTGAGCTGACTCTCCTGTGTTTGTAACAACACTTGTTTGGGGAAACCTACCATAGTCTTTCGTGTATAACTTGCTGTTTTAATGTTCACGGAGGAAAAGAATCCCAAAAGGCAGTTAGAGTAGGTGGGTGAGCTCCAAGGGCAAGTAGAAAAGTTCTCCTTGGTGTGAGTTAAGTCGGCCTCCCTTGGGCTGCGGCAGGTTTTAAGGTGCTTCCCCCCCACCCGCCCTACCCCTTAAGCTACCCAAAGTAAGCTGCCTTAGTTTCATTTATTGTTTCCATGAGAGAATAAGTTCTTAGGTAGATCCTGGGTTTCAAAGTTCTGTTCACGAGGGACTGACGTTACACACAACATAGATAGTCACACAGGTTGGCTAAGGCAGTCAGGTGCAGAGGAATACACGGAGCTGTGATGGAAGTAAGAAGAGTGACTGCCTTTGAGGGGACAGTGCTAACCCAAAAGGGACCCGAGGGAACCCCTAGCTGGTGGCACACATTTGTGAAAGTTACCACTAACATTTTTTCCATATGTCCAGCATAGGACTGCCCATATAAATACTGCATTATTCACATTTAAAAAGTAATGTTTGTAATGTTGGGACGTGGAGGATTACACAGAGAGGAAACTTGCCCCTGGCCCACCGCCGAGGTGCTGCTGTTGGCACTTCGTGTCTTTGAGGCTTTTCCGCATAGGTGCCTCCCGCCCCACCGCTCCTCACTCAGTGCTCGCCACGGCTGCCTGCTCCCTGCTTCAGGACAGACAGAAAGGCTGTACCTCTGCAGCGCTGTCTTTACACAACTTACTGCCAGTGCTGAGCACTCCAGGGTTAGGGCCAGAGGTGTGTGCAGAAGCGGGGCAGAGGCTCGCCGCGTTCACAGCTTTGGCTAAACGACAAAACCAGGCTTCCAGATCTTTGCTGGGGGTGGCGGGGAAGCCCTGTCCCATGCGACTGTAACTGCGTTTTGCTGCTTGGGTTGATTCTCCATGCAGTGTTTTGTCTTCTTGTGTTTGTTGCAGACCCCTGTAAAGGAGCCCAACAGTGAAAACGTAGACATCAGCAGTGGAGGCGGCGTGACGGGCTGGAAGAGCAAGTGCTGCTGAGCGCCCCCGCCGTCAGCTGCCACCACGCCCGTTCTCTTCTCGCTGCAAATAAACCACTGTCCATTTCCAACTCGAAAGCAGATATTTTTGTCCTCATCTTAACTCTCCAGTCCACCTGTTTATTTGTTCTCTCATCTGTGGCTGCTTGCTGACTTTAATTTTCTTCGAACAAAAAATGTATAGAAAAATCATGTCTGTGACTTCATTTTTAAATGGACTTGCTCAGCTCACCACTGCATTTCAGTTGTATTATAGCCCAGTTCTTATCAACATTAAAACCTATAGCAATCATTTCAACTCTATTCTGCAAATTGTATAAGAATAAAAGTTAGAATTAACAATTTTATTTTGTACAACAGTGGCATTTTCTGTCATGGATAATGTGCTTGAGTCCCTGTAATCTGTAGATGTGATAGCAAAGGAAACAAGCAAAGCCAGGAACACACTCATTTTCGCCTTGACTATGTAAATGGGGTTAATTTTGTCCTGTGCCTTATGTGGAAAGGAACTTCTTTGGTTTTTCCTTTTTGTTTTGGTGGAAGCATGTGCAGAAGATATATCATCCAAACATATAACCATTAAAAAGTTTGTGGTTTGCTTGGCTGTCATTTTCAGGCTAGTTAATTGAGGACAAAGGGTAATGCAAAAAAAAAAAAAATATGATAGCTTTGGTTTGCTGAGTCTCATTAAGTGGCCTTGATATTTAAAGCTGTTCCTGCCCCTGTTCTCCTTGGCCACTTCTTCCTCTCACCTTCCTGCATGCTGCTTTATTTGCTTCTCCCCATGGTATGAGTTATTTAAAAATGAAAGGGGCAAATAGTAGGACGTCAAGTTTCACATAAAGCACTGACTTAACGCGAAGTAAACTGAAGAAGTATTCTAACCGCCTGCCATCCAATGCCAGTTCATCCGTGTCTTCCCGCACTTGCTCGCTCCCTAGAGCTTGTCCCGACCTCCGCAGTCACCATCTCACGCCTCCTCCCCTGTGGCCCCTTCCCCTGCCCCCCACCCCACCCCCCGGCTGCCCTCTGAGTTTCAGAAACGGAAGAGTTACCTGCATGCACTCAAGTGTGGAGGGTGTTGTGGTTTGTCCCAGGAGGCGCACAGCTCTCCACTGTCCTAGATCCATCTCTCAGCCCACGTTTGAGTCGTCTCCATTTTGGCAACTCCTCTAGCATGTGGTAGCCCAGCAAAGGTGATCTAAAAAAAAAAGGACGAGGAGTGAATTTTATTAACCACGCTCGCCAAATGTATTGATTTGGCCTCCGAAGAACACTTTTTCAGTGTTGTCTTTACCTTAAGATTTAGAAATACTTCAGACTCTTACTAAGTCGGATCTTCACATCCGTATTGCCGTGATTTGGGAGAAGGACACAGGAGGCTTTGCACGTGCAGATCAGCCCCCAGCTGTCTCTCGCCCTGGCCCTTCCCCGGGTTCTCTAGTTTTGCTCCAGTGCTGTCATTAGTTAAGTTTGCTATGCTGCTAGCATCCTAAGATGACACCTTTGTTGGGTCCCTGTGAAAGGCGTGATTCACTCCCAGCAGAGGCTGAGTTTAGGACAGCGGCTCCCATTGACAAGTCTTTCTGTGCCGTGATCAGCATCTTAATGACGAAACAACACAGGGACCTATCGGCTGTGAAAATCCGTGGATTTTTCCGATAGTGCCCTGGAAACAGTTTTATATGCCTGACCGACTGTTCTCGGATTTTTCCCTCACTTGACTTTATCACTGTTTACTAGTAAAAAGCAGCATTGCCAAATAACCCCTCATTTTCCACTAAAAAAATAATGAAGTGATACTAAACTTCTCAAGGTTTTAGGATAAACCTGTTAGATTAACTTTGTTACTTCCCTTTATCTGGAATGTGGCAGTAGCTTTTTCATTTCTAATCCTCTTTAATGCTTCCTCAGTTCAGCGACTTAAGGTTTAAGAGCTCAACACTGGGATTTTTGGGTAACAGACTGACAGTTTTGGTGTTTGCATAATTATAGTCGGCATTGTACATAGAAAGGATATGGCTACCTTTTGTTAAATCTGCACTTTCTCTATCAAAAAAAGGGAAATGGAGTATAAATCAATTTTTGTATAATCTGTTTAAAACATGAGTTTTATTTGCTTAATATTAGGGCTCCGCCCCTTTTCTGTAAGTCTCTCGGGTCCTATGTAGAAGCTGTTCTCATTAAACACCAAACAGTGAAGTCCATTCTGTGGTACTAGCTACAAATTCGGTTTCATATTCTACTTAACAATTTAAATAAACTGAAATATTTCTAGATGGTCTACTTCTGTTCATATAAAACTAAACTTGATTTCCAACTCTGTCGTTTGGTTTTCATTTATTTATGGAACTGGAGGATTATTTCTGCAAACCTTGCAGAATTTCCCAAAACTAAATTCGAAGAGTAGCAAAAATAGAATGGAGATAGTTCTTGAAATTTTCTGCCCAGTTTTCTATATAATACCTTTAATTAAAAAAAAAAAAGGCATTAAAAAGATACATTAAAAAAAGTCACCTGTGGGACACTTAAGCCGAATCCTCTGGAGCCCAGTCAGAGCCAGGATCCCAGTGTCCCCACCGTGTGCGCAGGGGCCGGGCGCAGCTGCAGTCAGCTTCCTGGGGACAGGGCGAGCGCGCCGGCCCGCGGAGAGAATCCTTGTTGGAGAAGCAACTGTCCTCGTCCTGAGAAAACTATGTCCTACGGTGCTGCCATGCATTGCGACAGCACCTTGTGTAGACGCGTCTGATCCGGGTGACGGCCTTGGCAGCCAACACCAAGTCCCTGCCAGAAGACTTGGCAGCCACTTCTGCATACACACTGAGAGCCCCTGCAGTGTGTGTAACTGCTGCACCCCCCCCCTTTTTTTTTTTTTTAAGATTTATTTTAAAGAGTTAAAGAGAGCAAGCGAGGTCTTCCATCCGCTGGTTCACTCCCCAGATAGCCACAACAGCCACAGCTCCACTGATCTGAAGCCAGGAGCCTCCTCTGGGTCTCCCACACAGGTACAGGGGCCCAAGAACTTGAGCCATCTTCCACTGCTTTCCCAGATCATAGCAGGAGAGCTGGATCGGAAGTGGAGCAACCGGGACTTGAACCAGCGCCCATATGGGTTGCCCACTATGCCACAGCGCCAGCCCCATGATTTGTTTTTTCTAAGATTTATTTGAAAGGCAGAGTTATGGAGAGAGCAAGCAGGACCTAACATCTGCTGGTTCACTCCCCAACTGGCTGCAACAACCAGAGCTATGCCAGTCTGAAGCCAGGAGCTTCTGGGGCGCTCGTGTGGGTGCAGGGGCCCAAACACTTAGGCCATCATCAGAACTGGAGCAGCTGGGACACAAACTGGCACCCATTTGAGATGCTGGTGCCACAGGTGGTACCCTTACTCTATGCCACAGCACCAGCCCATAACTCCCATTTCCCCCCACCCCACAATTTTTTTTTTTTTTTTTTTGTCTTGGGCATCTTGGATAAGGCTGATGATTCTGCTTTTGAGATTGGCAAAGGAAAATAGCATGTAACCCCCAGTTTTTTTGTTTTTTGTTTTGTTGTGTGTGGTTTTTTTTTTTTTACATATTTATTTATTTGAAAATCAGTATTACAGAGAGCGAGGTCCTCCATCCGTTGGTTTACACCCCAGGTGGCCGCAACAGCCGGAGCTGGGCCAATCCGAAGCCAGGAGCCAGGAGCGTCTTTCTGGTCTCCCATGTGGGTGCAGGGGCCCAAGGACTTGGGCCATCTTCTACTGCTTTCCCAGGCCATAGCAGAGAGCTGGATTGGAAAAGGAGCAGCCAGGGCTAGAACCAGTGCCCATATGGGATGCAGGTGCTTCAGGCCAGGGTGTTAACCCTCTGCGCCACAGCACCGGCCCCACCCTCTGCCTTTCAATTAGCTCTTTGGGGCTGGCGTTGTGGTGCAGGTTACATTCACCTGTGACGCTGGCATCCCATATGGGCACTGGTTCTGGTCCCAGCTGTTCTTCCAATCCAGCTCTCTGTTGTGGCCTGGGAAAGCAGTAGAGGATGGCCCAAATGCTTGGGCCCCTGCACCTGTGTAGGAGACCCTGAAAAAGCCTGTGGCTTCAGATCAGCTCAACTCCAGCCGTTGCAGCCATTTGGGGAGTGAACCAGCAGATGGAAGACCTCTCTTTGTCTCCCTCTCTAACTCTGCCTCTCAAATAAATCTTAAAAAAAAAAAAATTAGCTTGCTTAGAAAACACAAGTAATTTTACTAGCTACGCATAACAAGAGCCTGGTTGTCCATGTTCTAAGTGCTGTGTTACTAGGAGAGCAAGTGTAGCTGGCAAGAACAGCCGGGATGGCTTTTCTGAGGTTGGTCCTTAGCTGTGTGGGCCCATGGGCCAGGCTAGAGGAGGGCATTGCAAGCAGCAGCTCCAGGGCCAGGTGTTGGGCCCAGTGGGGAAGATGCCGTTCGAGACGCACCCAGTGCCGGAGAGCCTGGGATCGAGTCCTGGCTGCACCTTTAATCCCAGCTTCTGCTGATGGGCGCGCTGGGCGGCAGCAGTGAGCGCTCAGGTACTTGGTCCCTGCCACCCGCGTGGGAAACGGAATTCCCAGCTCCCGCCTTCACCCTGCCAGCCCTGGCTTTTGCAAGTATTTGGAAGTGAACCAGAGGGGAATTGTGTCTTACCTCTCTAACACAAAGAGGGCTCAGAGGCTGGGCTTTTGTGAAAACAGCCCAGCCAGCCAGTGCGGTCTGCGGCAGGGAGTCGGTGAGCGCCGCAGAGCCGCAGTGGGGTGGGGTGGGGGGTCCGAGGAGGAGGAAGGCTCCGAAGGTCTCCTGGGTGGTTCTTGAGGGTGGAGGTTTGGATAGAACCTGCGGAGAGCACGTTAAGGGGAACACTTGAAGCAAAGAAGATGCCTGTGTGCGGCACTGTCTGGTTCTTTGGGTGTCAGTGTCCGCACGTGGTTGTGCCCGTACTAAGAGGCTACCTCTGATGGCGTGGATTTGCGTGAGGTTGCAGGCCAGTTGGTGCTGGAGGTGGGTATAGAAACCAGGTTGGGACCAGTGGCTGTCCTGTTTCCACTTCCCCATATCAGCTTCTGCGGATAAGGTTTGGTGTAAGTGATTACACTCGTGGTTAAGCGTGGCCCAGAGCCGCGGCATCTGAGTGCCCCAGTGCAGTTTGTGGCTCACGGCCATTGGTGACTTCTAACAGAGGAACGCCCTTGCAGGTGCTTAGCTCTCACTGCTGTTGCGTCTTGCTCGGCTCACCTTGCTTATCTTATGGTTTGTCTCTATCCCAACCATCGGCTTTTCACAGTTCTCTTAGTCGGCTTTCTGAGGTCTTTGAGGGGCCTTTGGTGGCTTATTGAAGGCTCCGGCAGGAATGGTGGCAAGGGAAAGGCGGCAGGTGGCCAGGTTCCGTGCCGCACTCCGAGGTGGTGGCAAGCTCAGGAGCCAGAGAGAGCGGCCGCGGCGCCGAGATCCGCGGCTCCACGGTGAGAAGGCAGCCCGACTTTCTGTTGCATCGGGTAGAGGGACCGTTGCTGAAGGAAGGAAATCTCTAGCCCAGAACTCGGGGATCCTTACACTCTTGGGGGTCACTGAACTTCAAGTGCAGATGTCAGCTATGGACCATCATCTCCCTGCACCAGCTCAGCCCGGGCTCACCTGCTGCCCCTGCCCTGCTAGACGGTGACAGCGCTGTGTTCGGGCTGCCATGCGTCCCCTCCCGTGCACAGCCCTGCCTCCTCCCCACGCCACCGAAGTCCCACGTAGGAAATAAATACTGAGGACTGTCCGAGGAGTAGCTCCCTAGCGTGGGAATCACCCATTCAGTTTAAACGCCGGCTCCCTTGCGGGAGGTGGCACTAATTGCTCGCCCCACGTTGAGACCACCTGCTGCACCTGCCGCGGCTGCAGGGTCACCCTCCTCACCAGCCACCTTGCTCCCCCGTATGTCTCTCACACGTCACGGGACCACAGCAGGGACCCTCTGCTGGGTGGTCTGGAGGCCTCAGAGCTACTGCAGCCGTGGAACGTTCGCTTCCACCCGTGTCTGTGCAGGGTCTCAGCTGCAGCCGTGCCAGCCTCTACTAACTGACAGGGCAGGGGCCGATCGCCGCTGAGGTACGAGGGTGCGATTTAAGGAGCCCGCAGTGCCTGGTGCGCCTTCGCGTTTCCCACAGATCCCTCCAGAAAGGCCCAGCGGCTGGGACGACAGAACCCATGGACATGTACAGAAGTAGCCAGGCAGGGGACAGCAGACCCCCGCCCCCCACACAAACCACCTGGCTCCGGGGAGGCCTGAGCAACGTCTCCCCCTGTACAAGTGACGCAGCCGGGGAGGTGGACGCTAAGTGACGAGAACTTTCACCGCTGGCAAGCGTCCCAGCAAAGCTGCACCAGCAGACTTAAAGCCTTAATGTTTTGCAATCTCTAGTAATTACTGGGTCGAGGCAACCATCCATGGCTGCCAACATCACAAAAGATTCCAACGAAACAGGATCGAATCTAGCCCACGGGCAAGCGCCACATTGCCAGCAGTCTGGGAACAGGAGCGCACAGCTGACCGTAGCAGCAAAACGCACCTCTTTGACAACTCGCTTCCTGCAAGGAAGGAGGGCGAAGCGGGCGAGAGGAGGCCACGGAGGTGAAGGCCATGCAGGAGGAGAGCCACGGCTCCAATGCCGCGCGGCCCAGTCCTGGCTGCTCGGCTTCCTGCCCACCCACGCACCTGGGAAGGCAGCCGAGGAGGCCCAGGGTGAGTTCCCGGCTCCTAGCTTCCACCTGGCCCGGCCCTGGCTGTCATAAGCATTTGGGGAGTGACTGAACAGATCAAAGAGCTCTGACTCTGGCTTTCAAAGAAATCATTTGGGTGGGGAGGTCAGGGGAGGTGGCGGCAGACTCAGCAGATAGAACCCACGCTGCGACAGGAGCCCAGGCGACCCCATCTGGGCAGGGCTGGTCCTCAGCCCCCATGAGGCAGGGAGCTGTCTCACCCCGAGTCCCAAGGGCGGTCTTGGCACACGTCCTCTGGCTGGTTCATCTCACGAGCTTGCCAGCATCTGGTAGGCGGGGACTCTGCTTGTCCCCTTTGGCTGCCCAGGTGGCAGGTGTGCAGGACTTGGGCTGAGCACGCTCATACAGTTCCCGCAGCGGCGGCCCTGGTGGCCTCCTTTGCCCCACCCCTAACTTTGCTGCATTCACATTTGCAGTAACCTGGATTGTAACTTTAAAAGGACTTTAAAATCCAAGCTCCAGTGGAATGGACCACTGGTGACTGCTGCAGGTCGATTTCCTCGTCTCCAAAAGGAGTGGACAGGAAAGCCCCCAAGGCTTGGTCCAGCACAA